GTTGCGACAAGATGAATATCCTGTAGATATTTACTTTACCTCTTGGATTTCACTGAATCCTTTTTGGATGTAAGAAGCTTGTTTAGACAGAGAAAACGTAAATTGTAATGTTTTTTTCTGCTTCTCTTTTCATTGGGTAACGATTGGATATGAATGAATGAAGGCGAATATGGGCGTTCGATACCATACTTCTGAGAAATAAGATACCATCTTTGAAGTCGTCGAATCACCTTTCGTTTGGCTCTCAGAAAAGGAAGTTTCTCGCGCCAGAGGAACACTTCTTTGGATGAATCATGCGAAGGTCATGATTATCTCAGACAGAAAGAGACCCAGACCTTCTTGATAACTTCTCTTCTTGGTCTTGAGACTTTCTGATATTTGGAGTTTGGCGAGATGTGTGTGAAAGTGATTATTGATTGACAGGCCTCTTATAAGACCATTGAACAGCCAGCGAGATGTCCTACCGCGCGCCGAACACTCCGAGGGTCACCCGCACTCAGAAAGCGGCACTGCGGGTTTCTGAGTCAGAGCAGATGACGCCCAACATCGGTACTTCCTCCACGGGATCAACCGACGGCCAACAGGCGGCCTTTCCACAGCGCCCAGCCTGCGCCTCGAGCGAGCCCCCGCGGGCGTCCCCAACTCAGGGGGCGTCGGGCGCTCACACCACGGAGCCGGGGTTGTTGTAGTTGCGCGAGGAGAGGAGGCTGGTGGTGCTGGTGAGGGTGAGGCGGTGCGGGGCGTCGTGGGTGCCGTTGTCCGCCCCCCCGACCATCCGCAGGTGGACGTGCTCGGTCCTCGGGGCCGTGGAGAGGCGCGTGGCCGTCGAGTCGGTGGGGTCCCAGTCCCTCCTGCGGCCGCGCCTCCGCCGGGTGCACCAGCAGAAGACGTGGCGGTTGAAGTACTTGCGGAAGGTCCCGCTGACGAAGTACAGGGCGATGGGGTTGATGCAGGAGTTGATGAAGGACAGGCAGAAGCCGACGATGCGGAAGGAGTGCCAGTAGATGTTGTAGTTCATGCTGGAGTTCTCGCCGAAGTGCCACCACATGATGAAGATGTTGATGGGCAGGAAGCAGATGGCGAAGATGGTGACGAAGGCCAGCACCATCTTGGCCACCTTCCTGCGGGCCTGCACCTGGCGCTGCTGGCCCGCCGCCTCGCCGGGCAGGTGCTGCGCCGACACCAGCAGGTGGCGGGCCATGAGCACGTAGAAGGTGGCGATGAGCACCAGCGGGAGCAGGTAGTACACGATGAACTTGACGAGCGTGTGGATCTTCGGGTACAGGTCGCCCAGGAACGGCGGGAAGGGCGTGCAGATGTGGTACTTCTCCCCCGTGGGCGTGAACTTGTCGGGCACGTGCGAGAAGAGGGCGGCAGGGAGCGCCAGGATGGCCGAGAACACCCAGATGCCGACGGCGACGATGATCGTGACGCGGCCGGCGGTGTCGGACACGTGGTGGCTGACGGGGCGCACGATGGCCATGTAGCGGTCGGCGCTGAGGGCCGTCAGCGTGAACACCGTGATGCCCAGACTCAGGTCCTTGACGAACTCGGAGGCGCGGCAGACCGTCTCGCCGAACGGGTACGAGGACACCGTGTACACGATCGAGATGAAGGGCACCGTCAGCAGCACCATCAGGAGGTCGCCGGCCGCCAGGGACACCAGGTGCGTGTTGGGCGTGCTCCTGCAACGGGAAGGGGGGGTTAGAGGGGGCTGGCCGGAGGCATGATGCGGATATTGATGATGGTAGTAATAAGAACCATATTGTGTTGATAATGATAATGGTAAGGAGAACGATGATGATACTAATGATAATGATACTGATAATAATGATAATGATACTGATAACAATGATACAACTACTACTTATAATAATAATGATAATGATATTAATGATAATATTAACAATGATAATGATGATACTAATGATAATGGTAAGGAGAACGATGATGATGATAATAATAATAATGATACTGATAATAATGATACTACTACTACTTATAATAATAATGATAATAATGATATAAATGATAATATTAACAATGATAATGATAATACTAATGATAATTAAGATAATGATCATAATGTTAATGGTGACATGATAATGATAATAATCAGAATGATAATGATAAAAATGGTAATAATCACAACAATAATGTTAATATATTATATGTGTGTGTATGTATGTTGTGTGTGTGTGTGGGAGAGAGAGAGAGAGTGTGTGTGTGTGTTCCAGTGTGTGTTCCAATGTCTGTGTGTGTGTTTGTGTCTTCCAGTGTGTGTGTGTATGTGTTCTAGTGTGTGCATGTGTGTCTTCCAGTGTGTGTGTTTGTGTCTTCCAAAGTGTGTGCGTGTGTAAGGCTGTGGATGTACCAGCGTGTGCCGGAGCGTCCCTCCAAGCATCCCCGTGCACGAGGCGCCTTCCATTCCGAGGCTCTCTTATCCCAAGGTTAAAAACACGTCGCAACGAAGAGGAGGTTAACTCGGAGAATCAAGTTA